CCCCACACCCCACACCCCACACCTCCAGACCCAGACCCACACCCCACCCCCACACAGCCACACCCACCTCGACATTCATGATAAGAAAGGTGTCGATTATTTGTGTATTTTGTAAAAATGGAGTATTACCTCTAATCTTGAGGACAATAGAGATTTGACTTCACAGTCAAGATGAAATTTACCTGATATCGATGATATGTATCAGTAATCGCATTCAGCCTTGTGCAAACATTGCGAACTGAGCATAAAATTGTGAATTCATTGCGATTGTCAAGAACGTGATAAACTATTTCGACCGGTAGTTCCAGAAGAGATGCTGAAGCCTTTGTTATCCATAAATATCGTTTGCGTTCGAACAATATGAGCCGCTAAAATGAATGACTGTTGAATTTTTTTTCCTTTGATAACGATCTGTTTATTTGAAAATGAGCCATCCAATTTCATCATGGTTGTGCATTTTTTTGTTGACACAGAGAACTGAAAAACGTGTGGTATGACGGATGCAACGATAAAGTTATTCTTTTTAAAGTAATTCTACATACCATTTTTTTACCACTATTTCATACGAAAGTTGTGCATATGTTCTTCTTAAATATATTCGAGGCCTCCTTCAAATTTTCTTTCTCTCCATTTTTTGTGACGAATAGAATAAAATCAAAGAGAAAAAGAACACAAATAGAAGTTTTGCAAGAGAAGAGAACAAATTAACGAAAAAGAGTAGACGGCATTGGTAAAAATGAGAAAATTGTGATTTTATTTTCCTTATGTCAGATAAATACCATACATGCGAATATAGATAGTATGAGCTATATCAAATACAAAGGTTTATGCAAATAAACGTATCCGAGTGTATGTAACCACAGGACATAAATTCTGTACTTCTAGTAGATTTCATATTTTGCATCCATAGATTAACGAGAGTACGTTGCAATGCATGGTAATATTTGAGAGCGAAAGAAACGAATATACGGGCTTGAATATGTTGGTGTTTGTATTTATTGGCAGACAATGCCCGGAGATATATTTTGATTAGAACATGTGACATGTGAGTATTGCAGAAAAAATTTATGGCTGCGATTGGATGAACAGCCTAAATACTAAGGGTTCTAAATTCTAGGTTTAATGGGAGGATATGAGTCTGCGAGCAGGTGTGTGGATCTCTATGAAGACCATAAGAATAATTAAATCCAGACCCACGCCCTAAATTATGATCAGCTCCATTTGAATTAAACAGGATTTTGTTTTACAGAATTCGTGAATTGGTACTCTTATTGCAAGTAAATCATGCATTTCCCTTAAAAGTACCTGAATAGAAAGTAGACATCAGAGACCGTCACAGGGCAGGGCGAAACTTTTTGCCCTGATTCAAAGAAAGTTTTTAATAGAATGTGAATAAAATTCAGTTTTTTATTAGAAAACTGATTAAAATGGCAATATTTTCATTGAATTTTAACCTAATTATTTGATGTTCAATCGATTAAATTTTGTGACTAGATCAACACTTTTGTATTTCATTCAAATTTATTTTTCTAGTACCTTTTTTCAAGGAGTTTGTATGCCAGAAGGCTTTCTTGCTCAGCTGAAGAAGTGTATGTGGATCAAAACAAAGTTTAACCAAGGAATCCAATAAAATGTTGCCTATTAATCTTAAGAGAAGACTTTATTTATCTCTGTTGAAAAATAGCCGCCTTTCGTTTAATACCCACGATAAATAGACAATCATTTTATTTTATGTTAGAAGTTCGTTCACAAGAGCACAACAAAGGCGAAATAGAAGTTAATCTGATTCCTAATTTTGTTTTCAAAAATTCTGAAATTTCTTTAGATTTATTAATGTCAAACTTGGTTTTTTGAGTAACAGACAATTGTTTTACAATTAAAATCACTTTACTCCGATTAAAGAATTTTTTTCAGTAAAAATCTTAGTATTCTGCAATATTTAGTTTCTAAAACGTCTACCAACGATAAAAGGCTAAAGTTCAAATTTAAATTGATTGTAGTAGCACTACTTTAATCGGATTTTGTCAGATAATAGACAGATTTCATTCGATTTAAAATCTTTTTTTCATTTATTATAACCGATGACTCAAAATACAGCAATTATAAATTATTATTAGAAATCGATTTCAATTGATGAAAGTTATTTCACCCAAAATATTATTAAAAAATCTTACAATAAAATGAAATCTGTCTTTTTGACTGAAAACTCTGGCTAAAGGCAGTCTAAAATAGTGTTATTTTAA